GAAGATTCATTTAATGATATGAATTGTCTTTATTGTCACCTACCAAGACTCATCAAATATGGTAGGCTGGCTATTTTAGGAGAGTACAGAGTCAAAGGAGATATAAATGATATAGAAACATGAAAAAAAATTTTCATTCACCATTTCATTTACTATTGATGTTAAAAGCCACAAATATATGGGGGAAAACTTCTGTAAGACTGTATGATTCATATGGCTGGATGAAGTCATATTGTCTTCTGGGGATTACGGTTTAAGTATCTAAGAGTGGGAAGCATAGACATGTGTTGGTTTGAGGGATGTAATGAGGTTAAGGTGTCCTCAAGGGTTCCCACGTGGGACGTTTCCAGTCCACCTGCATAATCCAGCTTCACCAATCAGCTCTCATTCATCAGTGCACAGGTCAAAAGCACCCTGTGGTCAAGCTGTGGCCCATCTGCTGAATGTTCCTTGTATGTCAGGAACAGTAATAACAGGTGAGATTAAAGAATAGTGTGGAATGGCCCCTATCCTTGAGGAACTTGTACTAGTAAAGCATAAAAAACCAAACAATATTCATAACATTGTAAATATTGCTATTACAAAATTGTGTACAAAATACTAAAAGAGGAAGAAGACAAATAAATATAAGCTGTAAAATCTTTTAAAAGTAACTGTGACATTTCCTGAGTCCTGAAGGTTGAGTAGGCTTTTGCAAACTTGAGAAAAGAATAATATATATGAGAAGAAAATATTAAAATGAGTTCATTATGTCTGATGTTTAGAAATCTTGGGGTAGTGGTGGGGATGAAGATGAAAACTTCCTGGAAGTAATACTGTAGATGGCCGCAGAAACCTTGATTTTCGTGGGTCAGCGTGAGCTATAGAAGGTCTTGAAATAGACTAGCAATCTAATCCAAATGTGTGTTTTAGAATGATTACTTTATAGAGTTTGGAGTCGTAGGAGCTCATGGGTAAAAGATATATTTAAGAAGTTATTCCAACCAACTTGGTGAGAGATTATGAGAATCTGAACCAGGATAGTAACAAGGCAACTAAAAAGAGGTGGTTGAATGCGAGAGATATTTAGAAGATAGGATTGATGTGACTTCATGTATCAGTCAGCTTTGGCTAGCATAAGACTTAGTACAAAGAACCTCACAATCTCAGTGGCTCACAGGAACAAAGCTTAATGAATGGTCCACTGTGTGTTACTTGTGGGTCAGCTGCCATCCCAACACTGTGGCTCTGCTCTTGCATACAAGTGGATTCAGGTCTGCTCCCATGAGTTGTCTCTTCATTCTGAAACTTGTGTCTGCTTCACGTTATGGAATAAAACCTGAAAGGACAACTGCCATCTGGTATGTGCAGGGAAGAAACAAAAGAAGGCATATCATGTAAATATATTTAGTTTTAACTAGGATATAAACATGGTCACATTGTTACATCCAAAGTCCACAGTGTGGTGAAGTATCAGAAATACACTCTGGCTAAAGGTTAGCATAGCAAGAGTGAGAGAGAACAAGTCGTCAACAAACAATATACACTATTGCTCTTGGGCTTTCCAGGTGGCACAGTGGTAAATAATCTAGTTGCCAATGCAGGAGATGCAAAAGACGTAGGTTCAATCCCTGGGTCAGGAAGATCCCCTGGAGAAGAAAATGGCAACCCACTCCACTATACTTGCCTGGAAAATTCCATGGACAGAGGAGCCTGGCTGGTCATAGTCCATGGGGTCGCACATGCACACTTGGAAGTGAGCTACGTGAGAGTGAGCCTATAGGGCAGTCACAGGTTAACCATTTTAGGGAAAAGAAGATGTATTAACTTCAAATATTTAAGAATGGTTTTTGTGAAGACCTAGATGAAATCAATAATAAAAATAACTTGCTTTTCCCATTTTTCTCTTTTGTTGTTTTTGTAAAATTTGAAGAACATGCCTTAAGTGAATTAGTTGCTCACAGTAACAACCTCTTGTATAAGATCTTGTCCCCTTTATCAGAGCAGATGGTTCTGTTCTGGTGATGAAGTCGTTATGGCTGCTAAGTTTCCAGGTTCACACTCAAATACTTGGCTCACAAAGTCATAATAGAGATTTGTGATTAAAAAAAATTATTTTAGCTATCACTTAATTTTCTTCAAGTGCATGTGACTACATGATAGAGAAAACTAAAGGGCTAGAGTCTACCATATCAAAACATGTCACTTTATACTTGAAATTCAGAAGTGAAATCTTTCCCTCCACAATACTCAGCAACCAAAATCATTTTGGCTGCTGACTTACAGCTATTCAGAATGGTCCAGAATCTTGCTGAAAAGCCATATACTTTGAATCTTTATTTTCTTTCCATGGGTGTCACAGCAGTCTCCAAATGAGCCAGACTGGACTCATTTTTCCATCTACTATCTTTTGAACACTCTCCTATGGCTCCTTTCTTTCTTGTAACTACCCCAGTATACAAGTAACAAAACTAAGATTAAAATATTTATTAACTTCTTTTTGCTGTAATTCAGTTGAGTTGGAATATGCATATGCCTACCCTCTTAAATGCCTTTATATTGCTTTACTTACCAGGGGCTATTTCTACTTTCCAGGTTATGGTTATAATTGAATTACATACATACTCAAATAGTTTTGCATAATACATGCTGCATAGTACATACAATACCAGAGAAACACCAAGAAAAAGTTGAAGAGAGTAGACAGGGTAGGAAATTCAAAAATGACTTGAGCTGTGCATAGTAAATACTTCTATGAGATGAAGCTCATAGATTTTCTTTTTGCCTTTTACTTTCTATATGAAAATTAACTTTTACAAAGTTAATTGACTTTACTTTTGTAAAGCTTTTTATTTTATATTCCCCTAGAGTAGGAAATGGCAAACCACTCCAGTATTCTTACCTGGAAAATTCCATGGACAGAGGAGCCTGGAAGGCTACAGCTCATGGGGTCACAAAGAGTCAGCATGACTGAGTGACACATACAGCCAATCAACACGTTGTGATAGTTTCAGGTGGACAGTAAAGGGACTCGGCCATACACATACATGTACCCATTCTCCCCAAACGTCCCTCCCACATAACAGTGAGCAGAGTTCCCTGTGCTATACAGTAGGACTTTGTTGGTTGTGCATTTAAAATATAGCAGTGTGTACATGTTGATCCCAAACTCCCTAACTATTCTTTCTCCTCATTCTTCCCCCCTGGCAACCATATGTTCATTCTCTAAGTCTGTGGATATGTTTCTGTTTTGTAAATAAGTTTATTTGTATCATTTCTGTTTAGATTCTGTGTATAAGGAATGTCACACAAAGTTTCTCCTTTTCTGTCTGATTTGTTTATCTCAGTATGATAATCTCTAGGTCCATCCATGTTGCTGCAAATGGCATTTATTTCGTTCCCTTTAATGGCTGGGTAATACTCCATTGTATACCTGTACCACATCTTCTTTATCCATTCCTCTGTCAATGGACGTTTAGGTTGCTTCCATGTCTTGACTATTGTGAATAATGCAGTGAACATTGGAGTGCATGTATCTTTTTGGACCATGTTTTTTCCTCTGGGTATGTGCCCAGGAGAGGAATTGCTGGATTATACAGGAACTCTACTTTTAGTTTTTTGAGGAATTTCCATACTGTTTTCCACAGTGACTGCACCAATTTACACTCCTGTCAACAGTGTAGAAGAGTTCCCTTTTCTCCACATCTTCTCCAGTGTTTATTGTTTGTAGATTTTTTTGATGATGGCCATTCTGACTGGTGTGAAGTGATACCTCACTGTCATTTTGATTTGCATTTTTCTAGTAATTAGCAATATTGAGCATCTTTACACGTGCCTGTTGGCTATCTGCATGTCTTCTTTGGAGGAATTTCTATTTAGGTCATATGCCCATTTTCCTACTGGGTTGTTTGCTGTTTTGTTATTGAGTCATATAAGCTGCTAGTATATCTTGGAAATTAAGCCCTTGTCCATCACACATTTGCAAATATTTTCTCCTGGTCTGTAGCTTAGGTTTTCATATTGTTTATGAATTCATTTGCTGTAAAAAAATACTTGTAAGTTTATTAGGTCCCATTTGTTTATTTTTGCTTTTATTTCTATTGCCTTGGGAGACTGACCTGAAAAAACACTGGTGAGATTTATGTCAGAGAATGTTTTGCCTATGTTTTCTTCTAGGAGTTTTATAGTATTGTGTCTTATATTTAAGTCTTTAAGCCACTTTGTGTTTATTTTTTTGTGTGGTGTGTGAGAGCATGTTCTAGCAGCATTGATTTACATGCAGTTCTCCAACTTTCCCAATACATTTGCTGAAGAGTGTCTATGTCATAATAAGTAAACTAGGTTTCAGAGTAATACATTTGAGAGATGAGCGTGGTTCGACCAAAGAAGTAGCAGTGAAAATGGCAGCGGTGGTTCGATTTGGCATTAATTTTTAAGATATGGCCAACTGGGTTTCTTCCTGAGTTAGATGTAGGCAGTGAGAAAACAATAAGAGTCAAAGATCACTAAAGTTACAGCAAGAGCTGTGGACAGCATGGAGGTGCTCTCAGCTGTAAACGAGAGCTGTGGGAGAAGTGTGTTGGAGGACAGCTCAGAAGGTGAACGGTCAGAAGGTTAGTGCTGCTCACATTGAACTGGGGCTTCCCAGGTGGCTCAGCAGTAAAGAACCCGCCTGCCAAGCGGGAGATATGGGTTTGATCCCTGGGTCGGGAAAATCTCCTGGAGAAGGAAATGGCAACCCACTGAAGTATCCTTGCCTGGGAAATCTCATGGACAAACGAGCCTGGGGGACTGCCATCCAGGGAGTTGTAAAAAGTTGGACATGACTTAGTGACTAAACAACAACAACACTTAAAAAAATCCTTCAGAATGCTATGTCACCACGAAAAGGAGACTATCCATATGCATCTATTCCAGGTCTGGTCTTGAATAGCTGTGAAACAAGGGACTCATTGAAAATCTTGTTTTTCCTTGGGACCACGCACTCCCCAGGACTCTGCTTCTCCTTCTGCTCACTTTCATCAGAGCAGAGACCTCTCTAAAACCAGGTCAGGCTGAGACTCTGAGTGTTTTAAGCTACAATGTCTAGAAGGTTTTTGTTCAGCTCCCCCTGCAGACTCAGGCACTGTGTCACACAGAGCACAGAAGTACTTGGCAGAATCACTCCAATGGGCTGAAGCTTTCATCAGGTGGAAGGACTTTTCATCCTTCTTGAATTCAGCCTCGAAGCCTTTGATGCCTTTAACCCGGATGGGCCCTGATAAATACTTCAGTAGAACCTGGAGGCCTTGGCTGGGGTACTGGACATACCAGAAGAGATTAATAGATCCACCATAAGAATAGTTGCATCTCAGCTCCAGATGGTTTCCTTCAGAGACGCTGATGTGACCGTCAGGCTGGGTCACTAACTGGGCTCCAGTTCCTCCTGCAACAGCAATGCAGCATCAGTGAATCCAGGGCACACCTATCTATAATGAGACAGTGTTTTCATTCAGACACCCTCAGAACAAAATCCCTTCTATATAGGCAGAAGCATGAAATATAATGTTACTTACTTGCTGTGAAGAGCATTCCAAGTAGCAGAAGAGTCACTGAGAGCATGGCTACGCAGGGAGGAAGATCTCCCTTGAGGAGCAGGAAGGAATGTGCTAGGGTGTGCTGAGTCCTTGTAACCAGGAAATTTGAGACTTAAAGAGATCCCTGTTTAGGCAATCCTAGCTACTACCAGTAAGAAATTCTTCCTTAAGAATGACTACTCCTAAAAAAAAAAAAAAAGAATGCTCCTGACATTGAGCCTGTTCAAATATGCACTTCAATGAGTTGTAAGATAAGAAGCTCAAACGAGTGAGACAAACACTTCCAGTTTATGCAACATCACCCTCTGCAGGTCAACAAAAGAAACAAATCGAGTCTTCAGGCTTTTGTGCCCCATCTCCTTTCTGCTCCTATTTAGGCTTGAATTGCTTAGCATTTTAAACTGATGAGAATGTTTCAGGGGTTTGCTTACTAAGACGCTCTTTTAATATTATGAATTAAATAGCATTATATAATCACATAAAGTAAATTATCCTTATTTTTATAGATGAGAAAATTGAAGCAAGAAAGGAAGGATGTAATTTGTTCAAGATCACAGTAAGTGATCTGGAATTTGTCCCATTGGTATGATTCAAGAATCTGTATCATTGGCCACTGACAATTTAGCACTATGGCCATTAGGCTAGATAGTATCCTCACTTATTAGATGGGAAATCAAGTCCTTTAGAAGTTAAATGTTTTGTCCAAGGACATATAAAGGATTAGAACCTAATTCAATTAGACTCCACTATGTTGTCATCTACTGACAACTACTGACAATACTGCTCTTTAGATTAAATGTAATTTCACCAAGACACACACGCAGAGCAAACTTCACAAGAGAATAGAAACTAAAGAAAATCTCAAGGAACTCAAACACTGACGTGATGGCCAGTAGAAAAAAGTATCAGAGAAACCTCAAAGGTAATTCAGAGAGGTACATGGCAAATCAGAATTGACTGGTGTCCTGAAAGAGAAGGAAAGTGGAGTTTCAAAGAGGAAGGACTGTCCATCAGAGCAGATGCTAAAAAATGTCTACCTAGTGAGATGATGACTGAGAAGTGTCTATTGACTTTTAGCAGCACAGAGATCATGATTTGAGTCTTTCAGCAGAAACTCAACTGTAGTAGAGACAAGACAAATGAGAAAAATTTTGGAACACAGAAATCTCTTTCCAGAGGCTGAATTGAGAATGGGAGAAAAGACATGGTGCTAACTAGACAAGGATGTTGAAGTATCATAGGGGTTTTAAAGGTTGAGATATATTTACATGTTTTTGGAAATGTTCTATAAACAATGGATCGAACTTCTGAAGAGACAGCCAGGATGGAATATGGACCACAGGTAGGAGAATTAATTTGTGAGGAGAAACAGTTATTTCCAATTTTATTGGAATGAAGGAGGAAAGAATTGGTTTGGTTTTCAGTATTATTTCAGGATATGAAGGCATAAAGTTGACACATCTATTAATTTTAATGAATTTTTTCTTCTTGTAGATAGAAATTAAGTACCTTCCAAGATAACTAATAGAAAAGATCCTGGGTTAAGAAATCTGATGAGTGTGAGAAGTTTTGAAAAAGTCACTGTAGGAACTGACAATGAGAAATGATTACAGAGAAAAAGAATACTTTCTTGGAAGCACTGTGGGTCTAGTTAGTGTTGGAGGTGATCACAATTTCAGTGACACCAGTCTGCCCATCAGTGTGATTTTCTTGAACTCTGCTTTATCAAAGTATATAAGAAAGTAGATTTTTTTTTTGTAATTTGATCTTTATGATGACTGAACAGTATTCCATGGTATGAGTGTAATATAGTGTTTTGAATCATTACCCCAATGAGGTGCATAAGAAGGCAGATATTAATCCATGATTAAGAATTAGTAAGATTATTGAAATGACATAGAATGAACTCAAAACAATGAAGTTAGTGACTAAAGACTGATTGAAGAAGGGCTATGAAGTTTAGATAATGTAGAAAGAGAAACAAAAGATCGGAAACTTCTAAGAAATAAGATAACAATAAAGACATCTGGGGACTAAATGATCATAAAGAGTCAAAGAACGAATGCAGCAGAAGTATATGAGTGTAAGAATCTGAGGATGCAAGGTTTAGACAGGATGTAAGATTTCAGAGGTGGAGCGGCATCTACCTGGAGAAATATCATCACATCTTTCTGGAGTGTGGCCATGGGAGTTTGTGACGAGAGGGATCCTACCTGATAGACTTCAAAGTTGATGAGTTCAGGTTTCTCTCTGAATTGAAGGCAAGGAGTATTTTAGGTTACAGTAGAATCTCATGTGTTTACGTCTTCAATATATAAGGGAGAGTGAGGCGGTGTCGCAATGAATGATTCTCACAAACACACGGGATCGTAAGAGACAGTGCGGGGAGGCTCAGGGAAGAGCAGCTCTGAGGAAACGCCGGGCCTGCGTTTGTTGGTAACGTGTCAGGTGATCTTTAACTGAGAGCAGGAAAGCCACACAGAGGCCCGCACTCTGGGGCTAAGGAAGCAACCTCCTGGAGGTCTGGAGGAAGTCACACCAGAGTCCTAAAGAAAGGGGGGCTTGTTTATCATGCAGAACAGCATCCTGCAATGCTGACGTGTCAACCAGAACATCTAACTTAAAGGCAGGGGAGAGCAAGCGAGGATAAGATTCAACTCCAGGAGACATTTCTGAGAAAACAGTGAAACATGGTTCCCATAGAGAGTGTCTGATGTTTATAAAGGTGGGAGTGATGAAAGGAATAGGGAAAAGTAGGGGTAAAAGGCAAAGCCTCAAAGGGTCAAAGACAAGAGTCCATTTTTGGAGGATGTGGGAGTGACAAGAATGCTGTTCTCATCTCTAAATTTGGAGTGTTTTAGATGAGGGAGGACCAGAAGTAACCACAAGTGAAAGAGCTGTATTACAGTCAGGTTTCAGTTGAGATATGTGGAAGGAATTTTTACAGGGGCTACCGAATGTTTGTTTTCAATAGAATGAGGATTTAGAGGGCAAAGTGGAAAGCAGTGTGGGATGGTAAGAGGTAGTTAGGTCAGTGTAGAAAATTAAACAGGTCAGACTCCTTGGCGAATCATTCCTCTCTGCAAGGAGTCAATCAGGGGTAGAGGCAAATGTGCCTTCAAAGGTCCTAGTACAGAGGAAGGTGGCCACAACCAGATCAGCTGGTGCTCAAGTCTCTAAGAAGATGTCATAAATCAGTAAATTTTGGCTATCCCAATGGATTATTTTCAGAAGTTTTCTTTTCTTTGTGTTCAGGAAATTGTCTTTTCCATGTGCCATATGTATACACTTGTTACTTGTTTCTTATAACCCTCTTATATCTTATCTACTTCAGGGGGCAAGTCAATTTGAAGTCACTTAGTATGTTGCATATTTCACGCAATTCTGACAGAATGAATTAGATATTCTTCTAACTTAGACTCAGTCTCTCAGATATGCCTAACAGATGGAGTTTGTGAAACACTAGAATCCTCAATGTAGCATCGTTCACATTGTATTCTCCATATTCAAAAAGACAGAAATCTGTCCTGGTGTGTAGGATGTGTGTGGAAATGTAAATAGCTATGTTTATCATACTTTAGAAATTGTTTTGATTCTGTGAGTGAAATCTGAGGTAACAGATACTCGTACTCAAGTCTTGGAAAGCACAATGAGAGGTTCTCTAGCACTTTCCAAAGATCAGCATATCCCTTCAGGACACTTTCAATTTTTCCCTCATTTCCTCCCCTTCCCAGCTTTAGAGCTCACTTGCTTATTTCCTCACTTTGCTTTTCCTAAAACTTATCTTTTTGTCTGCTTTATTTGTTAAAATGTCCTCAGTAATTAGCATAGTACTTGACAAATATTAGCTGCTCAATAAACATTTATTGAATAAAGAAATATTCTTGGCTGAACATTTTACTGACAATTGCTAGGGATGCAACAAAATGTAGAGGGCATGAGTTAGATCTTCTGAAAACATACAAGAAAGAGTCAAAGGACATCACATGGGATCTCATAATGAAGACAAGAATGTATTCCAAAATCCTTATTCATTCATGGACTTACTAAATTTCTCCTTCCTATTTACCTTTCTTCATTCCTTCATCCAACCCTCTCTCTTTCTTCCTTCCTCTGTCTATTCCCCATTCCTATCATTATTAAATGTGAAATTGGTCCCCAACTATTTTGTTAGGCTCTTCCTGTAAACTTCAGTTCATTCCAATACACACTTCTCTTTATCTCTGACATTCTTCATAGACTGTGATAAATGGTATAGATTTCTGCTTGTTTTATTAAAGTGTTTAATTATTGTTTGTCATAAGGTTGACACCAGATAGTTTGAAAGATGATGATTGCATGTAGCTAGATAGAGTCCCCTGGAAAGATGTGAGGAATTCTCCTAACATCGCATAAAAGAATAACAAAAAAAATATTCATTTAGACATCAGTTGATACTCACAGTCAACATGTTACCACAGCTGTAAGTCAATGAAAATGTAAAAAATGCATATGATGATTCAGCAATGTTCCCAAGGAAGCACAGTGCTTGTCAATCCTAAAGTAGTGAACCAATTTGATTAATAAAAAGCCTCTTCTTATATTGGGGCTTCCCATGTGGCACTAGTGGTAAAATACCTGCCTGCCAGTGCAAGATATAAAAAAGACACGGGTTCAGTCCCAGGGTTGGGACGATCCCCTGGAGTAGGGCAAGGCAACCCACTCCAGTACTCTTGCCTAGAATCCATGGACAGAGGAGACAGTCAGGATACAGTCCAAAGGGTCACAAAGAGTCAGACATGACTGAAACGACTTAGCATACATGCACATTGTGTATAGATAAAGTATATTTGGACTGTTAAAATAAAAAACACAGGTAATTTCCTATTTGTAGAGGATGCAAGGCATGTCCTCTCACTCTGTTGAAGTGTGACTGTTTACAGCATATAGAGGGCAAGATGCCACTTCTCCAAAAATTTTAAATGCGCCCTTTATTGAACATCTAATCAAATTTTCTAGTATCTAATTCATATATCTAATTAAATTTTTCATGTAAATGCCAAAGTGATT